CTCCTCCTCCTCTCTTCACCTCCTCCACGTCGGCGACGTCGCGGCCCGCGGCCGCGGCGCGCGCCGCGCGCGGAGGTCGACCGCCTCCGCCGCCTTGCCGAGGACGAAGGAGCTGTTCTTCTTGCCCTTGCCGTCCTAGTAGGCGCCATTGCAACAGATGCGACAGTCCGCGCCAAGTCAGCCCGCCTCGGAGGAGTTGCGTCTGCGCCCTCAAGCTGCGCCTGAGTTCGCACGCGCAAAACCTCGGACGTTGGCCGACTCAGCACAGACCGTCGGGTCTGCATCAATGGCTTTCCATCCGATGTCCTGCTTGCCGCCGTCCTCGGCGTCGCTATCCTCGTCGCCCCAGTCCGTGAACTCGGGCTTGCAGCACTCGCCGACGTGGCTCAGCGCTGGCTCCGAGCCCACGCCCTTCAGCACGGGCACCTTGTACTTGAACGTCTTGGGGCCGCTCACCGCGGTCACCTGCACTGGGAGCTCCACGCTGCCGAACTCGTGCGTGACGGTCTTCTCGTCCTTCTTGGCCTTTTTCTTCGGCGCCACCATCTCCGTCGCAGCTGGCTGCTGCGTCGCCGTCTTCATGGACCACGCTGCGCAGTAGTCCACGCACTTGGGGATCTGCACGTTCGACCCGTCGATCCACAACTTCGGGCCGTTCTCGCACACCAGCGGCAGCACGTCCGAGTGTCTGATCAGATTTGCCACCGACGTGCTGACTACCTCGGGGGGGCCCGTCGGGGGGGAGGGGGGAAGGGGTGGCGATGCCACCACCGCCATCCGGGGGCATCGCTACTTCCCAGCTTCCACGACTAGCTCGAGGCTCTAGGCCGCGTCGCCCCCCTCGCTCGGGGACGCATCGTGTACGCAATTGCAGACATTACCCCTGTTGGTGGCGGTGGTGGCGTGGACCCCCATCCCCCCTCTCCCATGGCCTTGCCCCAGAACTCCAACACCACGCTCGAGTCGCACAACGGTTCCGTGCGCATCAGGGTCACCTTCTGCTTCTTGGCCGCGGTGCTGACCTCCTTGAGCTCGAGCTTGTCGGGGTCGCCCATCAGCTCGTCGTCGCCGCTCGCGCTGAGGTAGGCAGACCTCGCCATGGTGTCGAGCTCGATCTGCACGCGGCACGTCAACTCCTTCCTCGAGAAGTGGCCCAGTCCGAACTTGTCGATCTCGTCCGCCGCCTTTGACCGCTGGAGCACTCTCAAGAGGGCCTTGACCTTATCCGCCTCCTGCTGCTGCTGCTGCTCAGCGCCATTCATCGCCACCGTCTCTCCGCCGCCTCCGCCCGGGCCGTGCGCATGCGCCGCCGGCTGGTCCACCACTGCGACGGGCTCCGCCTGGACGTCGTCCAGGAGCAATTGCATCGCCTTCTCGCTGCAGCCACCGCCGTTGAACCACTGCTTCGCCTCCTCGTGCTCGCGGTGCGAGGCTCTGTAGATCTCGTGGATGCGGCCGACCATCTCCGTGCGCTTCGACTGGGTGACCGCGACGCCCTGGTCGATCTGGAGCGCGGCATCGCCGCCGAGCAGCGCCTTCACCTTAGGGAACGGGCGGGGAGGGGGGGGCGGGGGAGGGGGGGAGGAGGAAGAGGAGGAGGAGGAGGCGGAGGAGGAGGAGGAGGAGGAGGAGAACGAGGAGGAGGGGAGAGCGGCGGTGGAGGAGGAAGGACAATAGGGAGGAGGGGGACGAGAAGGATGACGGGGCGATGGGGACTGGATAAGAAGGAGACGATGGAGGAGATGGGAATGGGAAGGACGAGAAGGAGGAACAGCGAGCAAGAGTACGGGGCACGAAGGAGGAGAGGGAGGAGGCGTGGATGAGGAAGGGCGCGAGGAGGGGTGCGAGATCGTTGAGAAGGAGGCCGAGGAGGAGGAGGAAGGATGAGGGAGGGAGCGAACGGACGAGTGATGGATGGGTGGGTGAGTGGATTGAAACAGGGGAGGGAGGGGAAGGGGGCGGGGGAGGGAGTAGGGAGGAGGTGAAGGAGGAAGAGGAGAAGGAGGATGAGGCGGAGGACGAGGAGGAGGAGGCGGAGTAGGAGCAGCAGCAGCAGGAGGAGGAGGCCAGGAAGAGGAGGAGGAGGAGGACGGAGATGGTGGATGGTGGCGGAGCGACGTCGTCACCTTCGTCTGCCACTGGCCGATCCTCGTGCACGTCGTCAGCTCGTCCGTGGCTGTGATCACGTCGCTGAGGTAGTTGCCCATGCCGAGGCTCACGGCGCGGGCGTGCAGGCCGTTCTCGTGCTTCGCCCAAGCTTCCGCGATCGCGTTGAACGCCACCGCCTCGCCTTGCTTGATCTCGAATGCCGATCGCAACTTCACGAACGGCATCTGCGCAACCTGCGACTCGTCGTGCAGCACGTGTTGCAGCGAGTGCTTCTCCTTCAGCTCGTCGATGTGGAGCTTGATCACGTGCGGCACGTACGGCACCGTGCCTCGAGGCACAATGTTCACCTCCATGTTGCCCAGCTGCGACGCGACGCTCAAGAGCAAGCCCGCCTTGTACGCCGTCATCTGCTGCACCGTGAAGCCCCCCTCGATCAGCGCCTTGTGCGGGCTGCCACCGTTGACGTACTCGCCAACGCCCTCGCTCTTGATCTTCTGGCACGACTTCAGCACCTTGCCCCACGCTGGCGGCACCGTCTCCCCGATCTTGTCGAAGACCGCCGTGGAGAGCAGCTTCCACGCAACCTCCTGCGACTCCACGTGGCCGCCGAGCACCGTCACCTTGCTCAGGAGCGTCATCATCGCGCCCGTCACCACCTGCATCAGCTCCTGGCCCCGCTCGATGTCCATGCCCAAGCGGTTCTGCCCGACGAACGTGAGCAGCGACTGCGCGTCGCTGAGCTCCGTCTCGACGAGCGCCTCAACGTCCTCTAGGCGGCATTCCTCCTCCTCCGCCTCCTCCTCTTTCTCCTCCGCCTACTTCTCCCAATCCCCCCCCTCCTCCCCTTCCTCCTCCTCCTCCTCCTTCTCCTCCCCCTCCTCATCCTCCTCCTCCTGTTCCTCCGTCGCCACCTCCCCCCCTTCCTCCTCCTCCTCCTCCTCTTCCTCCTCCTCCACCTCCTCCTCCTCCTCCTCCCCCCCCTCCCCCTCCTCATCATGATCCGTATCCTCATCCTCATCCTCGTCCTCCTCCTCACCCCCCTCCTCCTCGCCCCCCTCAAGCCTCTCCGCTTCCCGCCTCCTTCTCCGCATCCTCTTCCCATCCCCCTCTTCTTCCCCCTCCCCCTCCTCCTCCGCCTCCCTCCTCCTCCTCCTCCTCCTCCTCCTCCTCCTCCTCCTCCTCCCCCTCCACCTCCTCTCCTCCTCTCCCTTGTCATCCTTCCCCATCTCCTCCTCGACCCCCCCCCCCCCCCCCCCCCGCCGCATCCTCCTCCTCCCCCCTCCTCCTCTTCCCCCGCATCGCCATCGCCAGTGCCATCGCCCTCAGCATCCTCGTCATCACCATCACCATCACCGTCACCGGCTGCCCGCCTCCTCATCTGCATCATCCTCTTCTCCCTGCCCCCCCCCCCTCCCCCCCCCCCGCCCCCCCCTCCCCCTCCCCCCCCTCATCCCCCCCCCCTCCTTCTCCCCCTTCTCCTCCTCCTCTCTCCCCGAGCCCCCCCCCCCCCTTCCATCCGTCCTCCTCCTCCTCTTCCTCCTCCCCTCATCCTCCTCCTCCTCCTTCACCATCAGCATCATCTACATCGCCATCGTCGCCGTCACCGCCATCGCCACCCCCCACCACCATCATCATCATCATCAACGCCACTCTCATCATTAGTATCCTCACCAATGGTGGGGATACGAATGAGGATGATAAGGAGGAGGAGGCGGAGGAGGCGAGGGAGGAGGAGAGGAAGGCTGAGGAGGAAGAGGAGGAGGAGAAGAGGGAGGCCGAGGAGTAGGAGGAGGAGGGCGAGACGGAGGAGGAGGAGGAGCAAGAGCATGGCGAGAAGGGGGATGGCGATGATGATGAAGATGATGACGGGGATGCGAAAGCGTCGAGAATGCGGGACGTCGATGGGAAGGGGGATAAGCATAGGATGTTGTTGAGGATGAGGATGCGGATGGTGTTGGGGGTGGGGATGAGATGAGGATGATAATGAGGGTACGGACGAGGATGGTGATGGTGATATGGTTAATGGGGGTCAGGGCGAGGATGAAGATGGGGATGAGAATGGCAATGGGGATGTTGATGAGACTGAGGTTGAGGGCGTGTTGCAGGATGCTATGGTGATGCTGGCGGCAATGGCGCCGATGACGATTCGCGTGATTGGTGCAAGGACGTGGGCGAAGGCGATTATGGAGCTGGAGATGGGTAACATGAGAAGAATGAGTGAGGACGGTAAGGACGATAGTGATGTTGGTGACGATGATGCTGATGATGTCGAGGGGGACGATGGTGATGCGGATGGAGATGGTGATGCTGATGAGGACGGGGATGATGATGGTGATGCGGATGATGAGGAGGTTGAGGATTATGTTGCTGATGCTGACAATGATGTTGATGATGATGAGCACGTGGATGATGCTGATGCTGACATTGATGATGATGATGCTGAAATTGTTAATGTTGATAATGTTGATGCTGATGTTGTCGTTGTGGATGATGGTGAAGGCCATGATGATAATGCTGATTATGCTGGTGATGGTGATGCTGATGGTGGTGATGGAGATGATAGTGGTAGTGGGTCTGGTAATGCTGTGTCTCTGGGTGAAGCGGAGGGGCGTGATGTTGGTGACGAAATTCTCGTTGTGCATGCAGATGTGGACGATGGTGATCGCGATGCAGGCCCGAAGCGAAGCACTGACGAGGGCGAGGATGCGCATGATAGGGAGGAGGAGAAGGAGGAGGAGGAAGAGGTGGAGGGACGATGAGGATGAAGAGGGGGAGGGAGGGAGGACAAGCAGGATGAGAAGGTGGACGTAGAAGAGCAGGAGGGGGAGGGTGATAGGAGAGGTGGCGGAGGAGGAGGACCAGGCGGAGGAGGAGGTCCAGGAGGACGAGGAAAAGGATGAGGAGACGGAGGAGGAGAGGCGGCGGCGGTGGCATTGGCGACGACGCAACGACGAAGACAACGACGACGACGACGACGACGACGACGACGACAACGAGGCCGACGACGACGACGACGACTACGACCACGACGACGGCTTCGCATAAGCATGCCTCCTCTTCCTCCTCCTCCTTCTCCTCCTCCTCCTCCTCTTCACTGGTTCGCCTCCTCACCCGTCCCCCAATCCTCTCCCCCTTCCTCCTTCATCCTCTCCCTTGGCCGTTTTCTGGCCCTGGGGTGGTCCTTCGTCGAGGGCCGCCGCCAAAGCACCCCGCGCTGCGCGGTGCGCGCGGAACGTCTCTTCGCGCCGCGCAACTGCCGACTCGCCGTCGGCCCTCCCGAGCCTGCAGCCCTCGAATGCTTGCATGTACGCTTCGTGGGCCGCGTCGTAGGCTGCCTCCGCCTGCTCGAGAAGGTCTCGCGTGCTGACCTCTGTCTCGCACAGCGTGCGGTAGTTCGCGATGGCACCAGTGAGGAGCTCATCTGTCCGTTGCAAGGCGGCGTGGGCCGCGGCAAGGGCAGCGGCCGCGACCCGCTCCTCCTCACTGATGTCAGCGGCGTCATCAGCGCCGTCAGCGTCAGCAGCGTCAGCGCCTGTCTCCTCGGCGCCCGCTGCCCCTGCAGCCGCGGCAGCCGCGGCCCCCGCCGCTGGCTCGGCGCCGGCGGCGGCGCTGTCGGCCGCGACCTCGGCGGCGGCGGCGGCGCCGACGTCGCCGGCCGCGCCGGCGTCGACGCAGGCGGCCGCATCGGCGAACTCGTTGGCAGGCGGGGCGGCGGAGCGCCGCGGCCGCAGCAGCGGCTTGTGAAACTTCGGTGGTACAACAATCGGCTGCTGCTGGTGCTGCTGCTGCTGGCGCTGCTGCCCATGCTGCTGCTGGTGTTGCTGGGGCAGCAGGTGCGCGGGCGGCGGCCCCGCTGGCTGCGTTGGCGACAAGAGCGGATGCTTGGGCACCGCCCCTGCTGGCAGCTGCTTGGGCAGCGCGAACGCAAGCGCCTCGCCCTCGTCCATGCGCGGCCCCGCGGGCGCCCCGCGCGGCCGCTCGGCTCGAAGGCGCGGCGATGGCTACACCGTGAGCCCTTCGGTGCGAGCATCCTCCTCATCCTCCTCCTCTTCCCTTTCCATCTCATCCTGGTCCTCCAACTCCTCCACCGTCCCATCTTGCTCCTACACCTCCTCCTCCTCCTCATCCTCCTTCTTCTCATCCTCCTCCTCCTCATCCTCCTCCTCATTGCCCTCCCTCTCAGTATTCTCATCATTCGCCTCATCCTCCTCCTCCTCCTCCTCATCCTCCCCCTACTCCTCCTCCTGATCCTCCTGCTCTTCCTCATACTCGTCAGCCTCCTCCTCTGTCTCCTCCTTCTCCTCCGCATTATCATCCTCATCTTCGTCGTCGGCGTCGGCGCCGTCCTCCTCATCAATCTCCTTCTCCTCCTCCTCCTCCTCCTCCTCTTCCTCCTCTCCCTCCTCCTCCTCCTCCTCCTCCTCCTCCTCCTCCTCCTCCTCCTCCTCCTCCTCCTCCTCCTCCTCCTCCTCCTCCCCTTCTCCCCTCATCCTCCTCCTCCTCCTCCTCTCCCAGCCTCGTCCTCCCCCCCCCCTCCTCCTCCTCCTCCTCCTCCTCTCCTCCTCCCCCTCCTCCTCCTCTTCCTCCTCCGCCTCCTCCTCCTTCTCCTCGACTCCTCCTCCTCCTCCTCCTCCTCCTCCTCCTCCTCCTCCTTCTCCTCCTCCCTCCTCATCACCATCATCATCATCATCTCCTCATCCTCATCCTCATCCTCCTCCTCCGCGTCCTCCTCCCCCTTTTTCCCCCCCCCCATCCTCTTCCTCCTCCTCCTCCTCGTTCCCCCCCTCATCCCCCCTTCGCTTCTGCCTTCCCCTCCTCGTCCTCTTCCCCAACCGCCCCCGTCCTCGTTGTCTCTTCCTCCTTCTTCTCCTCCTCCTCCTTCTCCTTCTTCCCGTCCCTCCCCTCAGGGGGGCCCTCTCCAATCTGTCCTCAGCCGTCGTCTTCGGATGGGCGGGCGTGCTTTTCAGCGGCAGCATATCGAAGTCGCAGCAGTCCGAATCGCTCGGCCTGGCCTTCAGCTTGCGCGCCCCCTTGCATGCCACCGCCTGCGGCGGGCGGGGCGGCAGGGCAAAGTCGGGAAGGGGCCATGGGCGGCGAGGAGGGGGGGAATTGGGAGGGGAGTTAGAGTTCCAGCTAATTCCAGATAGGGGATGGGACGTGCATTGATGCAAACAAGGAAGTTAGGAAGGGGGAAGATTGCGGGCGGTGGACGGAGGATGGAGGTTGCAAAAGGGCGAGAACAGCCAGAGACGAGAGAGATAGAGAGGGCGAGTGAGGGAGGGTGAGAGGAAGGTAACGGCGGGGTGGGTCGAGTCGAGAAGATGGCCTGGGAATATTTATAAAAAGGCCAAGAGAGGGAGAGAGAGAGAGAGAGAGAGAGAGAGTGGGAGGGAGAGGGAGGGGGATGGAGGGGAGGGATGTGGAGGGAGGGAGAAGGGCACGGTAGAGATAGAGGGGGGAGGGAGAGGGGAACGGTAGAGAGCGACGAGGAGGGAGAGAGAGCGAGAGAAAGGAAACCATGAGCTATTGGCAACGATATAATGAGAGAACTAAAACTAGTGTTAGATAGAGAGAGAGGGTGGGAGACAGGCTGAGCAAAAGGAATAGAGAGACAGAGCGCGAGAGAGAGAGAGAGATACGAAGTTGGACATATGGGCGGAGAGGATGGGGAAGGGGAAAAATGAAGAGAAGGAGGAGGAGGAGGGAGGAGGAGGAGGGAGAACGGGAGTGAGGGTGAGCGGTGAGCAGAGCAACAATAACAATAGTTGTCGTAGGACGAGGGTAAGGAGCATGAGGGGGCCAGCGGGGCAAGGAGGGGAAGGGTAAGAAGGAGGAGAAGGAGAAGGTGGAGGTGGGGGGGGAGGAGGAGGAGGAGCTGGAGGAGGAGGCGCACTGGCCTTCGCCCTCTTGGCGAACGCCGTGAAATCCACGCAGTCCACGACCTTGTCGTTGGCGCCGCACAAGGGGACGGAGCCCGCGATCGCGCCGAACAACGCCAAGACCCACACCTGGCGGCACAAGTCCTTCGAGTCGGGGCTGATCCGCTCGATCTCGCCGGCCAAACTCCTGGCGAAGCCCACGAACTTCCACGTCCCCATGCCGCTCTGTACCTCTGTGACCTCCACGTCATTGATCTGCGGCTGCTGCGCCTTGAGCTTCTGCTGCTGCTGCTTGCGGAACTTCGTCGCCGCGGCAGCCTTCAGGCTCGACGCTGGACGTGAGGCAGTCTTCTCTTTTGCTGCGCCCTTCTGTCTCCTCCAGCGTGGGCCCGACTTAGTCACCAAACTCGCTGCGGCCTTTGCCGCCTCAGACTTCTTCTTCTTCTTGTCAGCTTTCTCCTTCTCGCGGGCCGCCGCCCTGGCTGCCTTCAACATCGCCTTGGCCTCCTTCAGTTTCAAGTCCTTGTGCAGCTAGGAGTCTGGGTTCGCGAGCTGCTTGAATGCCTCGCTGTTGGACATGTCCTGCAGGAACCTCCTCACCATGGGCTCGCGGATCTGCGTCTTGAACCCTGGGTTCTGCAATCCTGGGCTGAGCCCCTTGCACTGACCAACAGGTTTGGCATCCTGTGGAATCGGCACCACCATGCGGACGCAATCGGCCACGAGCTCAGGGTAGTCTGCCTGTTAGAAGGGCACCAACGACCCAGCACGCAGCGATCCACGCCAAGTCGAGCCGATCAGGGCCAGGGCCCAGGATCGACCAGGCCCTGGCCCGAAGCTAACTCGGCGTGAACCCTGCATATGGGCCGTTGGCGCACCCCATACCTTGAGGACCACGAAGCACGCGTTGACTGACTGGAAGATCGTCGCGGTCTTGCGAGCTGCGGGGTGCTGCAAGTCGCACTCGCCGTTCACGACCTTGACCGTGGCTTCCCACACGCTGATCTGCTCGGCCTTCTCCAAATGATCGCCCCTCCAATCGGCATCGATGATGCGAAGCTGCGACAAACGGTAGAAGCTGGAGGACACCTTGTAGCTCGTCGGGTTCGCCCACCTCCCAGGATAATACGACACGGCCGTCTCGTACTTCAAGTCCAACAGCTTGTCCCATGCCATTTCTCCCCAACCCATCTGCTTGGCCCGCTGCTTGCATCGGAGCTCCACGTTGCGCGTGGACTCCCAGATCTGGATGATGGTGATCTCTGTCACCTGGCCGTTCACCACGTTCTTGTACTCGATGAGGAAGTTCAGGACGTCGTCGGACGTTGCCCTCGCGTACCTCCTGCACCCCTTGAGCACGGTGCTGGCCATGAGCTGGATGCACCTGTTCTCCTTCTTCACGTCGGCCTCCCACGCCTTCTTGCCAGCGTCTGCCAGAAGCGTCCCCCAGTCAAGAAGTGAGTAGACGCCTTCTCTTCCTCCACGAAGTCTGGCGACACCCGCAGCCCCAACAGCAACCCAACTGTCTCCAGCGACTTTTGCCTGCTGGCCACCGAGCCTGCGTCGCCGCGAAGAGCGTTAAACCGATGCCTGTGTGATTGAGCAATGCGGCGTCGCCCAACGCGCTGGCGGCGCGACTCGACGAGCGCCCACTTTCTAAAAGCAGGCGCCCACCAAGTCCCACTCCCAGCGCTGTTGGGCCGACGCCGCACTGACCCGACCAATGCCTCTTGCACGTCCAGCCGTCAGGGCCCACCAGCGTGATCGTCGCATCATCGTCGTCGCAGTACAACCTCTCCGCGATGACCCGCAGCTCAAACATCGTCATGTCGCTGCCCCACCTGTCCCTGACGTGGGTGTACTTCCCGCTGTTGTCCCACTCGTCGGTGCACCTTGCTCTGGCCTTTCGAACGAGGGCCTCCACGTCCTGACGCGAGAGGTTGCACTCTACCCTGGCAACCTGCTGCGCCTGGGCCGAGACGAGCGGCATCGCAGCGGCAGCGCTGCAGCGGCCGCAGCCGCGGTGTGGCGCGCGTCTGGCTGGCAGCGAGCCGCGGGCCCGAGACCTCTCTCACCCGGCGGAGGACTCTCGGGCCAAAGCGGCTTCACCGCTGGATGGGTAGGCCGGATCGGTGCCAGCCTCGGTCCACGACCGCCCAAAGACGGCGTCACATGTCACAGTGGGATTTGGGGGGGAGGGGGAGGGTGGCGGTTGACCCTATTGCCACGCAGATCGGCCCAAACAGAGAGACTGTGAACCGAGCGAACCCTGCTCCAGAACGAGCCCTCGCGCGGGAACCCAGGAGGCTACCCCAAAACATTAGCGAGGGGCTTCGACTTCTGCCCAAAGACAGCGAAGGCAACCAGGAGGGCGTCGGAGGGAGGAGGGGGAAGAGAGAGAGAGAGGGAGAACAAAAAAAACACCAATAGAGGGAGATGGAGATGGAGAAACGGAGGGAGTGAAGGAACGAGAGAGGGCTGCATCTCTGGAGCCGGGTAGCGGCCCCCGACTAGATGCACTCGAACGTCCCAGTCCCAGGGGCCGTTGACACACGACCCAGGCACGTCAAGCACGTTGGGGTTGGGGGCAGTTTGGGGTGGGATGGTCGAGACCGACGGCGTGGCACGTGGGCCATTTCTGCACGGATTGTAGGTACACGTGATGAGTCTCATCGTGCAGGTGCGCATTTCGTTTTGGTGTGTTATTTATATATATATATATATATATATATATATATATTGTTATTCTGTTTGTTGTTATAGCTTGTGTTTTTGTTGTGTATGTTTTTTGTTTTCGTTTGATCGCTTATGACTGCCACTGTTCCACGCACGCACGTAACTGCATGCGACATGCGCCGCTACAATAACACAGCGGGCTGTAATCATTATTCTGCTGAAATCCACCATCACATTTCCGCTGGTGGCCCTGTTGCTGACCAGCTGCCCAACGCAATTGCGCTAGACGCTGCTGGCCAGCCGCGATACTAGTGCATTTGCGCTAGTAGGCAGCCCACTTGAGCAGCCCACCAACGCAATTGCTCCAGCCAGCTCGTTGGTCAACCGCGACCGGCGCAAATGCCCTGGTCAGCTGCGCCCCTGCCGACACCCCACTAGCTCAATTGCTCTAGTGGGGCTTCTGGGCGACCGCGTCTAGCGCAAATGCCTTGGTCAGCTGGCCATGTGAGGGCTACCAGGGCAATTGCGTTGGCCGCCGCCAGAAGCTGACGCAATTGCTCTAGTGAGTCGGGCGCTGATGCGCTGCCCAGCGCATTCGCGTCACTCGCGGTCGCCCAGCCTGACAGGTGACCAGCGCAATTGCGTTGGCAGTGCGCCCGTCAGCGCGAGGCCGCCAGCGCAAATGCTTCAGTCTGGCGGCTGCTCTGCCGCGACTAGCGCAAATGCTGAGGTCAGCGCTTTGGTTGGCGGCGGCCTGCCAGCGCAATTGCCGCGCTGGCGTTGCATCTACTAACGCATTTGCGCTGGAACCGTTCCCACCGACCAGCCGACTAAGGCATTTGCGCTAGGCGCTGCCAACCTGCCACCAGACTAAGGCATTTGCGCTGGTGAGCCGTCCGTCAGCGCCGCTGGCCAAGACATTTGCGCTAGTCGCCGTCGGTCAGCCACCCGACTAGAGCATTTGCGCTGGTGGGCCGCCAGCTTGGGCTGCTCACCAGCGCATATGCTCTAGTCTGCTGTCTTGCCGACTGTCACTAGCGCAATTGCCTTGATCATCTGGTCTGGCCGACAATCCACCAGCTGAATTGCCTCAGCTACGCTGTGACCTCCAGCGCTGCAACAAACCCTGCCGCAATTGGAAAACACCGTCAGAAAGCAGAAACCACAACTACAACACCAGCGCCAAACTGGAACACACGAAGGGCGACATGTTTTTTTTGTCAAACGAAACAAACCAAAACACCAAACATTTCTTTAAGCCAACAAACAAAAACATACAAACACGAAGCGACCCGACGAAGCTTGAACGATTGTATATGACACGAGGTAATCCGTCGAACCACGCGCAGGAGCGCAGGGAAACAGTTAACACACAACTGCATATCATGAAAACACTCATCCATACTTTGCGCATGATCCTCAATGTACATGCTGTGCCGCTGCGTTTGCATGCGATGAAGACTCCCTGCGGTTTTCGTTGGTCGTTGATGTCGTGCTTTGCGTGCGTTCGCTCGTGCATTTCGATGCGTTTAGCGTGCGTGCAGGCGCCATTCCCGAAACTAAACCAGCAGTGCACGCGTGCATTCGTGCAGGAATGTGCCATCACAGGCTCACCTGCAGTCACATACGCATGTACGAGGAGCCGCATGCATCGGTACACGGTGCACGCCGGCCCTACCACTATGCACCGCCACATCCTGTCAATGTTATGCGGTCACCATCATCATTATCATGCGCATAGCTGGCGGTCCAAGGCTCAAGGTTCAATGCCAACAGTTTACAGTGTCGCCAGAGGATGGCGCATGCGAGTCTGAAACGTCTTTGCTGTGCACAGTGGCGCACATACAGCATCGCTAAGCATAGGGTTACCTGCCAGCGCACAACGAACAAGAAAACCACTCGCCTTGCTTTGGGACCCGAGTCGCGCTGCACACTAGCACGCAAAGCAAATGCCACGGTTGCAAGCAAACCCCGCATCGGAACAGCTCGTCGCCTTCTGGCAACATCTTATCGGGCGGGAGGCACGCGGGGACAGAGCGGCAAGCCTTGCACATGACACAGGCATCGTTCGGAAAGGGGGCTATGGGGCCATTCCACATGCGAGCATTCTCACGCAGCACCAAAGTCTGACACCACTTGGGCATAAAAGGGCTGCCCTCCGACCTCTTGGCCTTCGCCATGATGATCGGTACCCGCTTCACAATGAAAACAAACCCATCAACGGACTCTGGTTTCACACGTGCATTCACTACTGCTTTCATTTGGCCATTCGGCCACAACGACACCTGTCGCCCCACGGACCCCTCAACATTCGTCCACTGAATGTACAGAGTTCGGTCGCCGACCCGAATTAAAGAAACCTCACCGTACGAAAGGCTATCGCACGGTGGCTGCATCGAAGCTTGGTGGAGCGCGTCAGCGACGGCATCTGCTCCATCGACGCGCCCCTTGCGGGAGAGATGAGAGGTAAGGGCAGGCCCCCAAGCAATGGTTCTAGAGGGCCTTTCATCACGCTCTCCTCTGACCTGCAGCGCCTCCTTCACGATCGCAAGCACAATGCTTACACACACGACGCCTCGAAGTGGGAACCCAGGGCCAGCGGGGCGAAACGCAGAACTCGGGCATGGCTTGTCCGTGAACGGGGCAGGGGGAGGGGGTGAAGCGGACAGGAGAGCGAATGAATAGCCGTTCGATCACTGCCCGCCCGCTAAACCAATGCCATGACTTTCGTTTTGTCGGGCCCACCCATGAACTGCAACGGGTGCTGGGCGAGGCGTTCAAAAAGGCCGTGATCAGAGAGGAATGCGGTGTCGGGTTCGGGCTCAGAACCGCACGGACCAGCAACTTCATCACCCTCACTTTCATTGTACAGGTCCGCATCGTAACTTCGCCTCCGACTCAACAGACAGGCCCCCGCCCCCGCCGAAACCCTCAAGGCGCAACTTACAACGCGCGTGCAGCACGCTTGCCACGCCCCTGCCACACGCTCACCGCACGCCAGCCCACGCATTGCTCACCACGCGGACACACGCGCACTGTGTAGGACGTGTGCGTGCAGGGTTTGACGACATTACTGTGGCTCCAGGGCCAGCTCTCCATCGCGCCGGAATTACTCTTAAGCTCCCAGCAACTAGCTAAGGGAAGCTCTACGAGTTTCTAGCTTCACCCTGCGCCCGAATTCCTCTCATCTGGCCGAAGAGCTCTACGAGATACTGGGAGCCGGCGGTAAACCATCAACAAGGTTACCGCTGGCAGCCTCGTAGAGCTCTTTGATCGCGCAGCGCTGCTTGGAACACATGAGAGAAGCTTTCTCAAGGTGATCTGAGAAACTCGAAAAATTACGATCTTTAATGTTTTTCCAAAGTCGGTTCCCTCAAGTGTTTGATAGTAATATTGAAGCTACGGACCTGAGAATTGGACTGGCAGACGCGGCATAACCCACTGCACGTGAGAAAAATACCGGTTCTCAAAACTAATTTTCAAATTTTGCACAGAGATACAAAAACCGACCCCAAGTTCCCACATTGTCCATTTTGGTCGGGTCTGCCAACTAGCTCCACCCTGCGCCCAAATTCCTCTTGGCTCATCTTGCCGAAGAGCTTTACGAGGAATTCCTCTCAGCTCCTGTCGCCGGTAATCTGGAAATCTGGGAAGCTTTTCTGAAAAGCCCTAGGGACTTCCCCAAAGCACTGGGCGCCGGCGGTAAACCGTCAACCTTTCTTACCGCCGGGAGACTCGTA